TTTCTTCAGTTAGACATTTTTCATGCCTTCAGGACCTCTCTGCGTTTTTCCTGGTTCCTGCTGCCCCCACACCAGCCCCCCCCCCCCCCCAACTATCAACATGCCAATGAATTTGTTAAATAAAACCTTTATCATTTCATTACATTCCTTATTTTAGTCACTCGGGGACTTCTTACACTGGTTGATGTCATCACTGGGTCTCTGTACCTTTCTACACAATGCAGGCAGATCATGGCTGGTGGGAGGAGCCAATAAGGTGCTGTACATCGCTTCCTGAAAACTTCACAGCCCCCAGCATTAGTATCCCTCCCAAGAACCCCCCAGTCCTGATGAAAGCGATAGGCTGGCTCTTAGAGCTCATTTACACTTGCTGCAGCTTCAACACACATTAAAGCGCCTAGTGCTTCCACGTGCTTTATGATGTGCTTTGGAGATGCTTCTGCAATGCTGTGATGAGGCTTCAGTGATGCTTTTCTGAAGCTTAATGATGTTTGGCAAATGAGGTGTGTGTGTATTCTTCCCACTGCCACCAACGATGGGGCACTTCCTCCTCCCACTTCACACCAACGATTGGGCACTCCTCCTCCCACTGATACCAATGATGGGGCACTTCCTCCTCCCACTTCACACCAACGATGGGGCACTCCTCCTCCCACTTCACGCCAACGATGGGGCACTCCTCCTCCCACTTCACGCCAACGATGGGCCACTTCTCCTCCCACTTCACACCAACGATGGGGCACTTCTCCTCCCACTTCACACCAACGATGGGGCACTTCTCCTCCCACTTCACACCAACGATGGGGCACTTCTCCTCCTCTTCACACCAACGATGGGGCACTTCTCCTCCCACCACGCCAACGATGGGGCACTCCTCTCCCACTTCACACCCAACGATGGGGCACTCCTCCTCCCACTTCACACCAACGATGGGCCACTTCTCCTCCCACTTCACACCAACGATGGGGCACTTCTCCTCCCACTTCACACCAACGATGGGGCACTTCTCCTCCTTCCCCAACGATGGGGCACTTCTCCCCACACCAACGATGGGGCACTCCTCCTCCCACTTCACGCCAACGATGGGCCACTTCTCCTCCCACTTCACACCATGATGGGGCACTTCTCCTCCCACTTCACACCAACGATGGGGCACTCTCCTCCCACTTCACACCAACGATGGGGCACTCCTCCCTCCACTTCACACCAACGATGGGCACTTCTCCTCCCACATCACACCAACGATGGGGCACTCCTCCTGCCACATCACACCAACGATGGGGCACTCCTCCTCCCACATCACACCAACGATGGGGCACTCCTCCTCCCACTTCACACCAACGATGGGGCACTTCTCCTCCCACTTCACACCAACGATGGGGCACTTCTCCTCCCACTTCACACCAACGATGGGGCACTCCTCCCCACTTCACACCAACGATGGGGCACTCCTCCTCCCACTTCACACCAACGATGGGGCACTCCTCCTCCCACTTCACACCAACGATGGGGCACTCCTCCTCCCACATCACACCAACGATGGGGCACTCCTCCTCCCACTGACACCAACGATGGGGCACTCCTCCTCCCACTGCCACCATGATGGGGCACTATTCCTCCCACTGACACCAATGATGGGGCACTTCCTCCCACTGACACCAATGATGGGGCACTATTCCTCCCACTGCTACCAATGATGGGGCACTATTCCTCCCACTGACACCAATGATGCGGCACTATTCCTTCCCACTGACACCAATGATGGGGCACTATTCCTCCCACTGACACCAATGATGGGGCACTATTCCTCCCACTGACACCAATGATGGGGCACTATTCCTCCCACTGACACCAATGATGGGGCACTATTCCTCCCACTGACACCAATGATGGGGCACTATTCCTCCACTGACACCAATGATGGGGCACTCCTTCCTCCCACTGACACCAATGATGGGGCACTATTCCTCCACCACCAAATGATGGGGCACTCCTCCTCCCATGACACCAATAATGGGGCACTATTCCTCCCACTGACACCAATGATGGGGCACTATTCCTCCCACTGACACCAATGATGGGGCACTATTCGTCCTCCTACTGATCTCAGGTGCTATATATTTTGCTTACTTCCTTCCACCACCAAGCTTGAGACATCGTTTGCTCACACTGACACCGGGACATTTTCTGCTCCATTGGCAGAAGGACAGTATATTGGCCCTTTGTTTAGAAGGTCTGTAGGCCCCGGATCTAGACTGGACACTGCTGACACCGCATTAGATATACCGATGTGTAAGTAGACCTTTTATTCTGTTAAGCCATACACGTGATACGTACATGAAAATCTGCTCTTCGTACTCCTTCCGAGTTCTCTGCCGGGGCGGAGACAACAAGATGGCTGGCTGAAAACCAAGCAGACTGCGAACATCAGCGCTCTGATCAATAGGATTGTCTCTGGAGGAAGCTGCCAAGTTCTTTTCTACCTCCACATCTCGCAGACCTATGAAAAGTATTAGGAGAAAGAATAGGTTGCAACGCAGGGAGATGTTATTCATAATACAAAAAAGTTAATAAAAATAAATAAAATAATTATAAAAATATAAAATAATAAGAAAAAAAAATTATAAAAGCAAGAACAAGCATGGCCTCAACTTAAATTGTTACTAAACACCAGATCCTGCATTCACTATATCCGCTCTCCCCGGACCCCGCATTCACTATATCCGCTCTCCCCGGACCCCGCATTCACTATATCCGCTCTCCCCGGACCCCGCATTCACTATATCCGCTCTCCCCCCGGACCCCGCATTCACTATATCCGCTCTCTCCCGGACCCCGCATTCACTATATCCGCTCTCCCCGGACCCTGCATTCACTATATCCGCTCTCCCCCGGACCCCGCATTCACTATATCCGCTCTCCCCGGACCCCGCATTCACTATATCCGCTCTCCCCGGACCCCCGCATTCACTATATCCGCTCTCCCCGGACACCGCATTCACTATATCCGCTCTCCCCGGACCCCGCATTCACTATATCTGATCTCCCCGGACCCCGCATTCACTATATCTGATCTCCCCGGACCCCGCATTCACTATATCCGCTCTCCCCGGACCCTGCATTCACTATATCCGCTCCCCCCGGACCCTGCATTCACTATATCCGCTCTCCCCGGACCCCGCATTCACTATATCCGCTCTCCCCCCCGGACCCCGCATTCACTATATCTGATCTCCCCAGACCCCGCATTCACTATATCCGATCTCCCCGGACCCCGCATTCACTATATCCGATCTCCCCCGGACCCCGCATTCACTATATCCGCTCTCCCCGAACCTGCATTCACTATATTCGACCCTGCATTCACTATATCCGCTCCCCCCGGACCCTGCATTCACTATATCCGCTCCCCCCGGACCCCGCATTCACTATATCCGCTCTCCCCGGACCCCGCATTCACTATATCCTCTCTCCCCGGACCCCGCATTCACTATATCCGGTCTCCCCGGACCCGGCATTCACTATATCCGGTCTCCCCGGACTCGGCATTCACTATATCCGGTCTCCCCGGACCCGGCATTCACTATATCCGGTCTCCCCGGACCCCGCACTCACTATATCTGCTCTCCCCCGACCCCACATTCACTATATCCGGTCTCCCCGGACCCCGCATTCACTATATCCGGTCTCCCCGGACCCTGCATTCACTATATCCGCTCTCCCTGGACCCCGCATTCACTATATCCGGTCTCCCCGGACCCCGCATTCACTATATCCGGTCTCCCCGGACCCCGCATTCACTATATCCGGTCTCTCCCCGGACCCCGCATTCACTATATCCTCTCTCCCCGGACCCCGCATTCACTATATCCCAGGTCTCCCCGGACCCGGCATTCACTATATCCGGTCTCCCCGGACCCGGCATTCACTATATCCGCTCTCCCCGGACCCGGCCCGGACCCCCGGCCACCCCATTCACTATATCCGGTCTCCCCGGACCCCGCATTCACTATATCCGGTCTCCCCGGACCCCGCATTCACTATATCCGGTCTCCCCCGCACCCCGCATTCACTATATCCGCTCTCCCCGGACCCCGCATTCACTATGTCTGGTCTCCCGGACCCCGCATTCACTATATCCGCTCTCCCCAGACCCTGCATTCACTATATCCGGTCTCCCCAGACCCGGCATTCACTATATCCGCTCTACCCGGACCCTGCATTCACTATATCCGCTCTCCCCCCGGACCCCGCATTCACTATATCCGGTCTCCCCGGACCCCGCATTCACTATATCCGCTCTCCCCAGACCCCGCATTCACTATATCCGCTCTCCCCGGACCCCGCATTCACTATATCCGTTCTCCCCGGACCCCGCATTCACTATATCCGTTCTCCCCGGACCCCGCATTCACTATATCTGGTCTCCCCGGACCCCGCATTCACTATATCTGGTCTCCCTGGACCCCGCATTCACTATATCCGCTCTCCCCGGACCCCGCATTCACTATATCCGGTCTCCCCGGACCCCGCATTCACTATATCCGTTCTCCCCGGACCCCGCATTCACTATATCTGGTCTCCCTGGACCCCGCATTCACTATATCCGCTCTCCCCGGACCCCGCATTCACTATATCCGGTCTCCCCGGACCCCGCATTCACTATATCCGGTCTCCCCGGACCCCGCATTCACTATATCTGGTCTCCCCGGACCCCGCATTCACTATATCCGCTCTCCCCGGACCCCGCATTCACTATATCCGCTCTCCCCGGACCCCGCATTCACTATGTCTGTTCTCCCCGGACCCCGCATTCACTATATCCGCTCTCCCCGGAGCCTGCATTCACTATATGCGGTCTCCCCGGACCCCGCATTCGCTATATCCGCTCTCCCCGGCTCCCGCATTCACTATATCCGCTCTCCCCGGACCCCGCATTCACTATGTCTGTTCTCCCCGGACCCCGCATTCACTATATCCGCTCTCCCCCGGACCCCGCACTCACTATATCCGCTCTCCCCGGACCCCGCATTCACTATATGCGGTCTCCCCGGACCCCGCATTCACTATATCCGGTCTCCCCAGACCCGGCATTCATTCTATCCGGTCTCCCACAGTACACAGAACATGGAAATGCAATTTTTGTTGTAAATATAAACTGCTAAAATATTGTTTCTTATCAGCAGTATATAGCAGTCTCCTGACTTCTACCAGTGTCCAGCAGAGCACTGGTTAAAGCTTGAAGGAGGAGTTTTCTTTCTGCTCTAGGAGGATGCAGGACCCGTGACCTCTGTCTGGACAGTGCTGATTGGCCCTGTGCTGATCACATGCGCTCTCCCAAAAAAACAAAAAACAACAAAAAAAAACCTTCTCTAGCAATACACCCCAAACTGTGCATGCGCAGCGTGCCCTCAAGGCTCTGTTCTATCAGCAGATGGATTGGGAACTATGGAAGAAGGGGAGGATCAGAGAAGACAGGATCAAACAGCCTTTTTATACAATGCAGAGGATTACCCCTTAGGTTCCACAGTGAGTATAACAAGCATGCTTTACTGCATCTACAGACTGATTGTACTGTTGGGGGTTCAGTAACACCTTAACCACTTCCAGTTTGAACACTTTCCCCCCCCTTTCTACCCAGGCCAATTTTCAGCTTTCAGTGCTGTCACACTTTGAATCACAATTGCGCGGTCATGCAACACTGAGACAGAGACAGATAAAGCGTTATTTTGGTGGGATTAATTCACCACTGGAATTTTTATTTTTTTTTTGATATGTAAATGAAAAAAGTCCAAAAATATTGAAAAAAAAGTGTTTTTTCTTATAAATTTTTGCAAATAAATAATATTTCATTATAAATCTTGGCCAAAATTTATTCAGTTATCTTTTTAGTAAAAAAAAAAAAAAAAAAAAACAAATTAGTTTTTAACCAAAAATTATAATTTTTAAACATTTTTTTATTTTTTTTTATATTATTTATGGGTTTTTTTTTTTTCAGTGTCACCCTAGCAGTGTCACCATGGTGACACTGTACTACTTGTGGGGGGTGAGGAAGATTTTTTTTTTACACTGATTGCTTTTACACCCATAAAGACTGTAAAAGCAATCATTTTTCCTTCTCTCTGGCTGCATTCTTGCAGACATTGAGAAATACTGTGTGAGCTGTGATTGGTCACAGCTTGTCACATGGTACAAGGCTGTTGTGAATAGCCCTGTACCGTGTGATCTCTGTGATCATTCACAGACTTCACAAGTAGTACGCAATGATGTCCGAAATGACATCTTGCTTACTATTCTACATGTGATCACTGATTGGCCAATCAGTGATCACATGATCCGGACCTCACACAGAGCTCCTGTACAGCGATCGGTGTTCTGCTGTGTCCAGAGGACACTCCTCAGCAGGAGAAGAATTAACGTGGTTCTAAAATCTCAAGGTTTATTAACTCCATAAAGGTAAAAAAAAAAAAAAAAAAAAAAACTATGTGTAGCAGCCCCCCCCCTAACACTTACCTGAGCCCCCTCTTGATCCAGCGATGTCCACGAAAGCCTTGGTTCTCCAGGGCTCCCACTGCTATCAATCACAGCCACATGGTACAAGGCTGTTGTGAATAGCTCTGTACCATGTGATGTCTGTGATCATTCACTGATTTCACACGTAGTAAGCAATGATGTCAGAAGTGATATCTTGCTTACTACTCTGCATGTGATCACTGATTGGCCAATCAGTGATCACATGATCGGGACCTCGCACAGAGGTCCCGTCTGACGATCGGTGTTCCACTGTGTCTGGAGGACACAGCGGGCACCGGATCGCGGTGCTGCGCGCTCCCGGGGAGCACACACGGTCCATAATGGCGGGGAGCCAGGGAGCGCGCACAAGCAGGGGGCGGGGAGGCCATTTATAAACACCCACCCACCCCTGCACTGCCACCATCAGGCTGTTTATATACAACAGCCGGACGGGAAGTGGTTAACAACCCCGGCTTGAAAAGCAAATGTGATGATTCCTCTTCTGTAGAGGCAGTACGTTTACATGGCAATAGATGTAGTGAACGCACTCATCACGTACAAATACAATGGAGAGGATGCAGGCGATGCATGTACCTTTCCTCCACATCGGTCACGCTCCACACTGACATCTGTATCGAGTAAAACAGCTCCGCTGGCACCTTAATGGAAAAGCGAGAGCCGCAGAACTTATCCGGCCCATTACCAGTGTCAGGAAAATCAATACCGAACTGAGTGAGACAGACGACGATCCACACACACGGCAAACCTCCTGTGTCCTCGCAGCGAGGAACGCCAAACGCCAGACCGCGGAGATCTCTCATTATTCAATATCTACCCAAGAAGGCTTCAACCTGCAGGAGCTTTCCTCTCCACTCAGGAGGAAATGATGAGATTTTTGTACTTGCTGAAAAATGATCTTTTTCAGTAGAATTACAGGACACGGGAATTCAGAAACCATTGAGTTAACCCCCTCGCCCTCCAGAGGAT